ATACTAGTATATAAACTAAATTTATAGTTAAACAAACTCAGTGCATTGCAAAAACCAAATATATCTAGATATAAATCCAAATATTTTACTATTAAAAGCTTGAACTTATTCAAACTAAACAGTTAGTGATAAAAGTTTATTTGAATCTAATTTAATTTATAGCTTAAGCAAAAAAATAATTTCAATTACTTTACTCTACAGTATAGCTTTGTACAGTTTAATAGGTGACAGAATATTTTGACTTTTAAGTAAAATTCACCAGAAGTCTAATCTTTTTTTGATTCTTTTACATAGTGAATATTAGTACTTCACTGAAGTTATTAATGATATTTGGTGTGATTTTTATTAGTAAAATATTTAGTTCTAAAAAAGTATTGTACAACATATAAATAAGTTATCTAAGCAATTAATTTATATTAGCCAATTACTTCCTTTGATATAGATACAGTTCAAGGTACTAGTAGAGTTGTAAATTTACAAAAAAATTTAATTTTTTTATGTAAGTTAAAAGTATAGAACTTACATGTATGTATATAAGTTAAATAATACAATAATACTATAGAATATAATTATAATTTTTATTAGAAAAATAACTATATAGATTTAATAAATAAAAGTTAAATTTACTAATTTTTTAATAATTTAATTTAAATAAAAGTTTATTATTTATTTTATAAAACTTAGGAATTTTACAATTTGTATAATTCTAAAGAAATAAGTTTTTATTGTATTATATTTATACTAAAACATTATATACAACAATTTGCTAATATTCAATCAACTCTCCCTGACAATCCCTTATACCAACTTCTCCAAAAAGGCTGATCTACAAAAACTATACAGATAATATGTTTAAATATCACAAAACTCTACTAGTAGTGGCAGGGAGTAATAGCTATTCACTACATGTTGGCATAAGTAATAGATTTGAAAAGAGTCACCCTTAAAAGCGAAGTCACCCGGTAGAAGACTATGGTGCTACCAAGCAAAGAAGTAGCAGACAAGCTCTGGAGCTTTGTTAAGTACTATAGAAGTCTCAGCAGAAGTAGTAACTTAGTTAAATGTATTACTCTGTATAGTGTAACTTTTACTATCCTCCTCAAGTTGGCTATTTTCTTTTCTTCCTTCTGTTTCAAAGTTTTTTTAACAAAAAGTGGGCAATTTGTTTTACCCCTCCAATTGATCTACAGTGCTTACACAATCCAAATCAGAAAACTAGGAGTCACATATTAATCCTTACACGTATTTGAATTAAACAATACGTATATTGATTATATATGATACAGTAGTTATAGATAATGTAAAGACTTCAATACTTAGTATCATATAATTTTTTAGGCTACTGAAGCTACTATACACTGCAAATTTCTTTTTTTATATATTTCTTTTGTTTTTTCTTCTCCTTCTCTTTTATTTTATCTCCCACTAGAAGTATATTAGAATTACCAATCTTTTTTTTGCTTTTTTTATCTTTGTCCATTTATAAACAAACTATTTTTAGATTATTCTTCTTTTTTTCTTTTTTCTTCTATATAGATTTTTTCTCTAAATCTTCTTTTCTTTCATAAATATAGCATTTATTTTCTTCTCTTATACAAATATAAGAGATAAACTATTCTGCCCAGACCTAGGTAGGAAAAGTTTTAAAGGAAGATAGATGGTTCTAACAAGGCATACAACAGCCTACTAATAATCAAAGGAAGTATCATTTCAATACGAAATCCTTAGCAAGTTAAGGATCCTGCAAGAGATTAATAGTTGTTATGGCAGGTTATATTGGGTTTTATTCCTAGTAAGTCTTTATCAAAATGAGCTATAGGTTGTAAGAATTTAGTACAAATTGTATATAAATTATATAACAGTTTACATAAATAAAGGCAGGTCCACTTATAAAAAAAAAAAACATTATATAAATATATTTTAATCTAATTATTTAATTTATTATACATTATTACAATATATATAATAACTTACTATATATTGTAAATTTTGGATATAACTTATATATAACTTATATATGTTGTGCCTTAGACTAATGCTTGCATCAGATTACATCTGAGGCACCTCAGATGCAGATAATCAAGTGAGGTGCATAACCTTTCAATTGGTTATTTGAGGTGCCTCAGATGTAATATAATGTAAGATAATTATAATAGATATGTAATAAATTAAAGAATCAAAGAGAAGTGAAAAGTAAAAAATAAATTACCTTTTTACTTTGGGGTTTTTTTCTTGGTTCCTTTAAATCTCTTTGGAGTTTTCTTATCTCTGCTATAATTCTTTATCTTGAATCTCTTTGGCACTTCATTTTTAGTAGCATTTCTGAATCTCTTTGCTACCTCAGCTTTTGTAACATTCTTGAATCTCTTCAGCACTTCATCTTTAATAGCATACCTGAACCTCCTCAGCACCTTCTTATCTCTAGCAGCACTTCAGAGTTTCTTTGACATCTTTCATCTCTAATAGTATTTCTAAATCTTTTTGGCATTTGTAGTATTCTTTTTCTTAGTGCCTTTTCTACTTTGAATCTTTGTGGTATTTTGCTGCTCTCAATAATTTTTTTTTCTTAAAACTTTGTGACATGTTATTTGTGTTATCTCTTATTTTTTTGTCTGAATTTCTGTGTCAGTTCCAGGGCACCTTCAATAGATTATATAAGTTAATGTGGCACCCTATTCATCTTTAATAGTATTCTATTTTTTTTTTTTTTACGTGAGTCATCATAGCACCTTCTTTCTGTCTCCAATAGCACTTTTTTTCTTACCTGGGCTTTGTGGCAATATCCTTTTTGAGTTTTTTTTTAATATTAAGATGGTATATGATTTTATTAGCAAAAGCACTCTCAATTAAATCCTTGAAAACTATGTAGCTAATCTCCCTAAATCCAAATGCAAAAAGGCTTTGATAAATTTTGAACTTCATAATAAAATAAAGGCAATTCTAATAAACCCCAAGAACAATTCTCTTTATGAAAAAAACACTTGTAATTAGACAAAAAAAAGGTTCAGAATTGAAGAGATTTCATTTAATGACTATAGGATTATTATAAAATCTACAAATAACCCAGTTTTAATTACTGAGAAGTTCTATGAAGACTTATATCATACTTATAGTAAAATCATGTAGCATGGCAGACAAAAACAAACATGGATATCTATATGAGATAAATAGAGATGGATTAAGCAGAGTATTATTGAACAATTTGTAAACAATTGTGCAATATATATAGGAAAACCATCATTCCACCCTCTAGCTGCAAACTCATAATCGCAAAAAATTTTTTATCAAGAGTTTAGATAAATTCTCATTTTTTTTTTTTTAAAAAAAAAAACTTTTTAATTTTTTTTTTCAGATGAATTTAATCGATCTTAGCTTTAATCCTGACAAAGAATATAAATGTGTGTCATGTTAGGGAATACTTTATCAGGTTTTTCTGGGCAAGGGCGTTAATCTCAAAAAGAGCAATCGTAGTTGCATTTTTTCTGTTTGATTTGTTTCATTCAATTGGGTCACCACCAATCATATTACAGTTGGACAATTGCAAGGAGTTTGTTTTACAAGTAATTAAAAAACTTATAGTTCTATGGTCTTCTGTTAAAGTTATCAATAGTAGATCTCATCACCCTCAGTTTCAAGAGTTGATCAAACATGCAAATAGAGTTCTAGAGCAAAAATTAGAAAAATAGAAAAAATCTACTAATCAAAATGACTGGACTTTTGGTTTAAGGTTTGTTATTATAGCTATGAACAATTCATGGTGTCAAGCACATAAAAGGATACTTTATGAACTTGTATATGGAGATAAATCTTGGAGCAACAGCACATTAGTTAGTGAACTATAAGATAATAATATCTGCAATGAGGAAGAGATTCCTAATATAATCAATATTCAAACTGATAATATAATGAACTTAGATGATGATATGGATAGTATTTTATTATTATTTTTACTATTTATTTTATTTTAGTTTATTTATTTTATATATTTACTTAATTTATTATATATTAAATCAAGGTTTAGAATCAGAATCAGAATCAGAATCATTATCACATAAACTATTATTGCAGAAACTATTGCCTTAGGAATAATTTTCTCAGAAACTATTATATCAAGAACTATTGTCTTGGGAACTAGTGTTCCTTATAGTACGGTTCAAGCTGGGTTTTAGCAAAGATCTGAACTTAAACTGAAAAATCAGTTCAAGTTCAAATATAGACCCAGACCCAAATAGGTGAACCTGGACCTGACCCAGAACTAGATATACTAATGATTGCCCAGGTAACTTATTTATATAGTTTAAAAGTACTTTTTGGAAATATAACATTTCACTAACAAAAAATCACTGTAAAAGCCATTTCTAGCTGCCGAAAAAATGTCTGTTAATATTTATTGTGCAAAAATAATCAAAAATAATCAGTAACTCCAAGATCTTCACTTAGAAGCAAATATTTTTACTATTTATTGTAGTATTAGTCATATTAACTATATGTAAGTTCTAAATGCTAGAAACGGCCAACAAAAAAAAAAGATTGAAATATTATATGTAAGATCTAAACCTACTGTTTAACATGCTATTAAATAAAAAGCTTATACTAATGCTCTTATTTTATTTATTTTATATATTCTGAATATTATAGAGTAAACATTAGTAACTTTGGGTTAAGTAATAGATTGATAGTATGTACTTAATTATATAAGCTAATGGTCATGTTGTAAAGGTCATGATAATGAATTACTTTGATTTTTTTCAAAAGATAATAAATAAAAAGCAGAGATAGTTTCACTAATAATTTATTCACGTTTAATGAGTTGGATATTTAATAATAAATATTATATTCATTCCACTTTACACATATCTATCTGTTTTCTATCCTTATGCAATAAATTCTTTGTATGTAATTATTGGGTTGTAAGCTTCTTTATGCAAAGTTTTCTTCTTTTTAAAAATTATATAATTTGTCTACAAAAATTAACCAACTATTAAATAAATGTTAATCTTTTATCTTTTTAAGATATTTAAATTATAAATTTTCAAAATTGATTGTTATATATTAGAGCATTTAATAATGTGCATTAACAATTAAAAAAAAAACTAAAGATAATCAAATTTAATAAATACTCATTATTTAATTTGTAATTATTAGAAAACAAATCAAAATTACAAATTTATATTTAACTATTTATTTCCCTCCACCATGATCTCAAACATATAGCCCACCTTACTGTCTTACTATCTAATCAGTTTCGCTTATTAGTTATCATATCACCACTTATACTAAACACCTGCTCGCTTGGCACACTAGTTGCAGGTATGGGAAAGCAGTCTCAGACAAATTTCGCAAGATTTGGAAAACATGATTCATTTATTTTCCACCATTCTATAATATTAGTATATTCTTTTGCAAGTGTCATTAATAAGTACATATCCAATTCACTTTCTTGTTCTACATGTAATCGTTTGTAAATTTGTGAAACTATGTTAGTTTCAGATAGTTCATCGATTGTATGAGTCACATTTCAGCTGGGAACAGGTGCATATTTGCTTTTATATTTGTTATTGATACTAAAAAATAATATTTATTTATTAATATTATACTATAATTTATTACATAAATTATAAAATCAGCTTACATATTCTTGATCTGAGAAATATGCTGTGATGGCCAGCCTAGAGTTTCAAAGTATACAAGTTTAAGCCAGGGATCCAGTATTACTGCTGCAATATTTAGTACATCCGTTTTTTGATAATAATCTAAAAGCTTCATGGTTGCAACCTCACACCCATGATCAAGCCATTGTGGTAGGTTTTTCTTTTGTCTAGCCTCTTTAAGTGTTTTGACCAACATATGATAAGGGAGATAACCATTGATAATATCAGATATTCCTGCTTTGACATCTCAACTGTTGCTAAATATAAAATTAATTAAAGATAAATTGCAACATAAGTTAAAAAGTAAATATAGTAAAATACTAACCATCTTTAAATGGCAATAAAATTGCAACAAGAAGTTTTATTCTATTCTAATCTTCTTTGGAAAGTACATGTTAGCATAGATCTGATTTAGTATGAGATATTTCATTTATAATAACTTGTAAAGTTATTGCATGATCACATATCTTGTAGGGGAATTCCACCAAGTAGAGACGTCAAGAATTGGTTTTAATATTTCTATCTTATGTATTTGGCATAGCATTTTTAACTTCTTACGAAGTATTTTTGATCCTCTAATACCTTTAATTATATCACACAACTAAACCAAAAATAATTTAATAAATAAACAGATGTCTCGCCAAAAAAAAAAATAATAATAAAAATACAATAAAATATATATATATATATAAAAAGTCAATAACCATTTCTAATTCATGTTCTATGTCTTTAAAAATACTTTGAACCGCAAGATTTAAAATGTGAGCAAAACATCGTATTGATTGTTGCTTATTATCAAAGTAAATGCCAGCTGATAAAATAGAATTAGAAAATCACGTAAAAATTTAACATTAAAGGATGCATTGTCATGTGTAATAGCACTTATTTTTGAAATAATTTTCATTGATTTAAGACAGCTTTCCATAGCACTAATGATTTTGGCATCTGTGTGATGTCCATCCATATGGATAAAATCGAGTAAAAGATGTTTTAATAACCATGATGCATCTATATAATGAATGGTAACTGCCATGAATAATTTGTTATTAGTATCAGTAGTCCAGATAATAGTCGTGATTGCTATACGACTGAGTACTTATAATTTTTTTTGAAGTCGTGTACGTTCTTCTTCAAAATTATTAACAATATGCCTTCTTATTAAATCAGATGACGGTGCTAAAAAAAAAAAGTAAAATAAAAAATGTTCAATACTATAATTACAATACTGAATATATATCCAAAATATAAATAATATTTATACAATAGAAAATTTACCTATTGCTTGGAGCTCCAAATATGTAAATATCGATTTAAGGCTATCATCTTCTACTATGTGAAATGGTTGATTATGCTAAATAACCTAACCATTTATAAGATCAGCAAATTTCTTGGAATCAAAAGGTTCACGATTGTTATTTGTAGCCTAGCAATTATAATATATGAAGTATTAGTATTAAAGATATCACACATATATAAGTTGTATCATAGGTAGTTATATATAAGTGAAAATTTACTGGAAAAGTATACTTACCTAGTAAATTTTCACTTATATTTAACTATCTTGGATATAACCATTATTTATTGAATAACTTACAGATTTGTTTTTTAGCATATCCAAAACAGAGATCCTCTGCTCTACATCAGATTCCTTCGATTCTTTCAATTCTGTTACTTTGTTTTTATGGCAGCGAATAAGATGTTTTTGAAAACTTGAAGTTTATCTGTTCTCTTGGATTTTTAAAACTGTATTACAATGTTTACATATCACAACTGGTACGACTAATCCATCATTATTTTTTTTTTTGTTTTTTTAAAATAGTTCCACACAAATGATCTATAAATGGATACATTAATATATGAGATAAAATTGAAATTAAGCTTTTTGAATAAAGAAAATTACCTATTAGTTATGGTGGTTTCATTTGATGATTCATTATTATTGGGTTTATCTAGGCAGATTACATTTGTTGGTTCTTGAGTTTCATTATAAAGTTCATCGCAAGATTCATAATAAAGTTCATCACAAGGTTCATCATAATGTTCACAAGGTTCATTATAAGGTTTATCCCAATTTTCTTCATAAGAATTAGACATTTTTTTTTTTAGTTAATTTTATACTGAACTTATTAAAAAAAGGTTAAAATTAAAGTTTAGTATATCCAAAGGTAAGATTAAAGAGAGACGACTGTAAAAGATAGACGTAATGACAGAAAAAAAATACCACTTTGTGTTTAATTTAGTAAAAAAAAAAAAGGAGTTTTTATGCCAATTAGCTATGTTCTACTTACCAGGTCAGTCCGGTCGGGTCACGATTAAGACCTGAATCCGATCAGGTTAAAAAAATTATGAACCCGAACCCAAACCGTGGCTGGGTTCGGGTCTGTGGAACACTATTGGGAACCATTATCTCAGGAGCCATTGTCTCAGAAACCAATATTTTAGAAACTATTGTCTTGGAAACTATTGTCTCAGAAAACATTGCTTCGAGAACTATTGTCTCAAGAACTATTGCCTTTGAAATTATTATCTCGAGAACAATTGCCTTAGAAACTATTATCTCAGGAGCCATCATCTCCAGAACTATTATCTCAGGAGCTATTGCCTCAAGAACCAATGTTTTGGGTACTATTGCCTCAGAAACCAATATCTTGGGAATCATTTCTTCAAGAACTGTTATTTCAATGTAATTATGTAAGTTTATTAGTAGTTATGTCACAAGTGGGAACAGAATTTAGATTAATTCTAAATTTTTAATGTTAGAGTTAGGATTTTTAGTGTAATTATTCTATTCTAATCTAAGTTAATTCTAAACATATTATAATTTCATTCTTATAATATGAAGCTTTTAGAATAATAGCTGATGTCTATTTATACTAACTAACAATTAGATGCTATATCCAAATTCTGCTCTTGCTAATATTACAAACTAGAGTTATAGTTTGCTATATGAAATTTTAAGAGATTTTGCTTGCTATGAACTTCAACTATATATTGACAAAATAACTAACTAAATATTAAAAAAATAAAAATTAATTGATTTTAAAGTTGGTAATTTTGTTTGAGTAAATAATTCAAAGATTGATCAGTTTGCAATTGACTGCCCTAGCCTTCTTTATAAAATTCTAGAAAAAAACAAAAATCAACAATACAAACTAGAATGCAAATATGGTATACTTAATGTACATTATTCTTTTGGTGAAATTAAATCAATGGGTATTGCTACTTGTTCTGAACTCAATATGATACCATCTGAACAAATATCTCTTCAGAAGGCATCAAGATTGCAGAGTGCTGGATCATTGTCAAGTGCAATTTGTAACTACAAAGGCTTGTGCAATAGTAAAAGATATAATTGTAAAAAGATAAATGGGAAGTTTCAAGCAGATGTCATAGTGGTTATTTTTGTTTAAACAAAGATTAGTAAAAAATGCATAAAGTAAAAAAATTAGCTTTTAATTTGCAGATGCTAGTAAATAAATATTTAATTGCTTTACATATTGATAAAATAGCTTTAATTTGCAGATACTAAATAACTAAATATTTAGTCGCTTTATTTGATATTGCACATTAATTGTTAATAAAAAAGTATTATTAATTAGTTATGCATCAGATTACATCTGAGGCACTTCAAATAACCGATCGATAGATTATATATCACACCTGACAATCTGCATCTGAGGTGTCTCAGATGTAATCTGACACAAGCATTAGTCTGAGACACAACAAATATAAGGTAAGTATATAATTTACAATCTTAAAACTCTAGATACTAATGTTTTGGTATAATCAATTTGCCTAATATACAGTAGGTATTTGCAAAACTCTAATTGAAACTGTTTAGTTGTTAAAAAATTGTTTAATAATTTTGAACAAAATTAACTTAATTATAGGTTAGAATTATTTTAATAATTATTAAATTAAACAAATAATATGGTTAAATAGTTAAATTATTAAAAAATTTTAAAACTTTATATATTAAATTTTATATTAATTATATTGTATATATATATATATATATTTTTTTTTAAGGTGAGGCCTTGCTCATATCTTTATTGGGTAATTTATATAAGTAGTTACATAATATTTTATGAAAA